CAGAAACTGCTAAAGTAACATCTGTGTGCATGATGAAGCCATGGAAAAGCTGGAAAAGTACTCAACTTGTGGATTCATGAGATAATGACCAATGAACAGAGCATAGGGGACAGCATTATTGTGAGGCTGAAAACCAAAGAAATTCATAAGCAGATTATCCAGCATCAGGAAAATGTTAAACTCTTCTTTGCTTATGTTGTGTTATAAAGAAAGATTATATATAATTAATTACTTATAAGAAAAATATATTAAATAAGATGTTTTACACAGAAACACATAAAATAAGGTTACTTATTGATTGAAAATGTTGTGACAAGAGGCTTGTAGGAACCTAACCCTATATTTCCCTTAGGAGCAATGGCTCAGTGTTTGCTAATTCAGTGTTCATGGCAACCTTATAGAACATAACTACCACAAATTGCAAGGATATATTTTCAAATGGCCATGCCTCCATAATTAGTAGGTGAGAGTGCTTTTTTCTCCACCCCCAACTAACATAATGTTGTTTCAAACTTTTGATATCTGATAACCTGATGGTTGAATAATGGTATTTTGTGGTTTTAACTTGCATTTCTTTTAGTATGAGAAATGTAGACCTTCTTTTCATGTTTTAGAGCCAATTATATTCCTTTTGTCCTTTTCTAATTGGTTTGTGAATCTTTATATATGAAGAAAATTAGCCCTTTTTCTGTGCTACAAATTGCAGATATTTTCCTTAGTGTGTCATTTATCTCTTGACCTTTTTTCCCCATATGGCAAAAGGGAATATCATAAACATTTTTAATGTAGTCAAATGTATTGATCTTGTCTTTTGTAGCCTCTGGGTTTTGTTACAGTTTTAAGAGTTAATATCCAAAATCTATAAAGAACTTACCAGTCTCAACACCCAAAGAACAAATAACCCAGTTAATAAATGGGCAGAAGACGTGAATAGACACTTTTCCCAAGAAGACATCCAGTTGGCTAACAGACATGAAAAGATACTCAATATCACTCATCATCAGGGAAATACAAATCAAAACCACAATAAGATACCTCCTCACACCTGTCAGAATGGCAAAAATTAACAACACAGAAACAAATGTTAGCAAGAATGCAGAGAAAGGGGAACCCTCCTGCACTGTTGGTGGGAATACAAGCTGGTGCAGCCACTCTGGAAAACAGTATGGAGGTTCCTCAAAAAGTTAAAAATAGAGCTATCCTACGACCCATCAATTGCACTACTGGGTATTTACCCAAAGGATACAAAAATACAGATTTGAAGGGGTATACACACCCCAGTGTTTATAGCAGCATTATCAACAATAGCCAAACTATGGAGAGAGCCCAAATGTCCATCGACTGATAAATGGATAAAGAAGAGGTGGTAAATATACACAGTGGAATATTGCTTAGCCATCAAAAAGAATGAAATCTTGCCATTTGCAATGACATGGATGGAACTGGAGCGTATTATGCCAGCTGAAATAAGTCATTCAGAGAAAGACAAATACCATATGATTCCACTCATATGTGGAATTTAAGAAACAAACAGATGAACATATGAGAAGGGGGGAAAATAGGAGAAAGGGAAACCAACCATAGGAGACTCTTAACAATAGAGAACAAATTCTATTGTTAAGAACAAACAGGGTTGATGGAGGGATGTGGGTGGGGGTGGGCTACATGGGTGATGGGTATTAAAGAGGGCACTTGTTGTGATGAGCACTGGGTGTTGTTTGTAAATAATGAATCACTGAATTCTACTCCAGAAACCAATATTGCACTGTATGTTAACTAAAATTTAAATAAAAATAAAAATTAAAAAAAATTCTAAAAAAATAAATAAAAATAAAAGCTTTTCTTAAGAGATATCTAAGGGTTGTGTTTGATGTTTTGTTGGTCCTTTGGTGTTTTTAATGAATTTAATCCTCGCAATATATAACACTAATTATAAATCTTCTAAGCAGTGTAAATTTCAAAGCAATAGAACAATGGAAGGTCACCAGGTTTTGGAATCCAAAGTCCTGTTTGAATTGTAGTTTGTGCACTTACTAAAATGACCTAAGCCATGTTACTTACCTGCTCTTAGCCTCAGGTTCCCCATCCAGGCCTTACTGTGTTCTATTACAAAAGACAGTGCCTGGCATATGATGGATTCTCATTGTTAGTTTCTCTCTCTCCTGCTTCCCTGAAGCCCTTGATCAAGAAATATTTTGTTAAATTAACTTGAGTTAAGACATACATTTTTAAATAAACAGGATTTCTTTTCAAAAGCATTCTATAATTTAAATTATAAATGATTACTGTTGAGTTTCTCAAGTTAGCCTGAACTAGTAATTCATACATCCATATTTGAATTGTAGGTATTAAAAACGGTGTGTCAGTACAATGCACATTGCAAAAATACATTTTTTGGTAATAAATGTTTGTGAAAAGATTAAATGAAGATTGAATTTCTAGACACTGAGTTACTTTCTTTAAGAACTCCTAAACTATGTCTAGAAACTTCACTGGAAACCCTTCAATATAAAACTATTGTTTAATGAAGTCAGTCATTGTACCCAATTTATCCTGTTTCATAATTCTGAATTTTTTTATATATTACATTTCCTTAAAGCAGGCTACATTTTTAGAGAGAATAATGCATTTAAAATAAGCACAATTGTATCTTAAAAAAGTGTAATGTTTTTATCCTTTCATAATTAGATCAACTATATTTCCATATATTTTTCTTTCCATGGCTAGTTCATGAGCCACCTTAACATTTGGAGAATAAGGAGAAGTCACAATTTTAGAAATGCCTTAACTTTGTATTTAAATACAATTACTTTGTCACCACTCTAAGGAAATTCAGTAAGACTTGAATGCCTTTGCTCTATTAGGCAATTTAGAATATCCCAGACCTTGTTCTGGACTTCAAGATTTTTGAAGTTCAAAGCAGATGTGTGAGGAAGAAAAAACATCTGTTGAAGAGAACTTGCTTCATTGCATGACACTGTTTTCCTGCACTCTTCACTGGAGCGTCTGTTGAGCAGGTTGGCAGGTTTGATAATTAATTAATGATGAGGGAATGAGCCACGTATCTGAGGAACTCAGTTTTGCCCCTTACTGCTTCTTTCTTCCCCACATGTCTGGCAAAGCCTTCAGAGTCTAGGATCACTGATCCCACAATTGTATCTCAACTCAAACACTTGTCTTCAGGCTTAATTAGCTCAGAGATATAAACAGATGGATGGCCTGGGACCCAGAGGGTTTGTCTTGAGCAATGCAGTTTTATTATCAGGGAGTTTTGAAATTTTTGTTGGAGAAGTACATCAAAACTTAAAAAATGCCTTTAAAAAAAATTTAGAATTTTGAAAGTATATATACTTGAAGGTGACAGGGTTTTGTGTGTATCTCTGTATGTTTGTGGATTTTTCTTTTTGTAACTTTTTATTTAGATATAATTTCAAACTTACAAAAAAGTTGCAAGAATAGTACAAGGGACACCCACTATTCATTTACCCAGATTCACCCATTGTTTTTATTTCCCCCCATTTGTTTTTCCATCCTCACTCCTTCCTTCTCCTCTCTTCCCTCTACACACACACACACACACACTGAAACATGTATTTTTTATTTTTTCTGAACTATTTGAAGTCAAGGTGGATGTCTGCTGTCTTTACTCTTAATACTTCAGTGTATATTTCTTAAGGACAGGCCATTCTTCTAAATAATCACAATACAGTTATCAAAATAATAAAATTTGATATTGATACAGCATTATTACCTAATCCGTAGTCCTTTCTTAAATTTCATCAATTGTCTCAATAATGTCCCTATGACATCTCCCCACAGACCAATGTAGGATAACACATTGCATTTAGTTATCATATCTCCTTTATCTCAACTTCCTTTGTATCAATTGACTTTGACATTTCCGAAGAGTTCAAACCAGTTATTTAGTAGTGTTCCTGTATCAGATTTGTGTGGTGTTTCCTCATGCAGTCTGGGTTCTGCAGTTTTGGCAGAAGTACCACAGAAGTGGTGGTGTGTCCCACAGTGTCCCACCAGAAGGCACATGGTGTTGATTTTCCCTTAATTGGTGATGTGAGTTTTGATCATTTGATTAGGGGGGCTTCACTAATTTCTCCACAGTGAACTTAAACTTTCCCTCGTTACATTTAGTAAGGACTTCGTGGAGAGATACTTGAAGACTATGTAAATAGTTTGCTCCTCTTCAAATTGTCACCCATTTTAGCAACCATGATGGTTTTCTAACTGTTATTTCTTCTGTATTTGTTAGTTGGCATTCTGCTACAAGGAAGAGCTCTCTCTTCTCCCCCATTTATTTATTCATTTATTTATTTGCATTAGTATGGGCTCATTGGTTCTTATTTTATTCAGTGGTGATAATTCATTACTATTTATTTTGATACTTAGTTTGACACTGATTTGGCCAGTGGGAGCCCCTTCAGGCTGACGTCTGGGTCATTTTGATAAGTTGTCATCATTCTTTGAGCACTTCCTTACTTTCTGGCACAATAAGATGTTCCAGATTCATTTTATATTTTCTCTGCCCCAGCCCTGGAATGAACATTCTCCAAAGAATCTTGGTTCCTTTTTATGGAGAATGGTATTTAGAAACCAAGACTGTGTGTATGTGTGTGTTAGTGTTAAAGGAAACTACGGAAACTACGTTATGGAATATTACATATGCTAAATCATTGTGTACTGTATGTATCAGTATGTGGTGCATGTGTGTTTTTAAGGCTACAAGTTTCAAACAGAAGAGCATTTATTTTACATGTAATAATCATAAGTTTTGACAAGAAAGAAATACATTTATCATTTCATAGTAAATGGCATTACACAGTTTTGAGTACTAAATCATCTTGACATTTATGAAGGACCAAATGGAAAGTAGGGAACTGAGTGTGTTAAAATATAGAGCCATCTTGAACTGTTCTATTAAAAAGCAAAGATTTATTTTCCATCTGTGATCTGAATGTGCCTATTTGTGTTCTCTTCCACGGCAGTGGAATTTCTTTGGAGCCACACGACAGAGAGCATGTGTGTTGGATATATGTCAGCCCAGGATGGGAAAGCCAAGGTAAGCGGGAAAACTGGGGCATAACCTGAAAACCTTGCAGCTGTTGCATGAACCTCTAACCAGTGAAGTTGATAAAAATGTATTTTTTTCAGCCTCTATTGGGCAGTAACTCTGTGATCTTTATGAGAATCTGATTAAGAACAGTTAATGATCCCAAAGAGAAACAGCAGATCTTTTTAGCTTTTGATGACAGAGCAGGGGAGATTAGGAAACACTATCCCCACCCCCTTTATTTTCATCTTGTTCTTCCTCAGCCATTGTGAATAACTGGAAAAGAAGAAACTGGGGATTGGGAAGAGAAAATGGGAGTAGAGCTGATGGGCTGACAGGGCTGAGTGATTTTACAGGGAGTGTTGGAATAGATCAAGGAAACTGAGGTAAAGAAGGCTGAGTGCCTAGACATCACCCTGCATGTGCAAGGGTGGAGGTGGCTGAGGTGCTTGCACATATGACTTGTCTAGTGCTCTGTTGTGTCCTGGCATGCCCTGGCACGGTGTCCTCGTGAGCAGAGTCAAAGGTCTGTGCCCTGTGTGACACGTGCCTGTGGCATGCATCCCTCAGTGAGTCACAATAATCACATAGACATACACAGCTACTCATGGATTGCTTGGTTTCCCTGCATCCATGATGGGTGAGTCTATATAAGAAATATAATCTATGGATTTTAGTTTATACTGGACTCACGTTCTTCTTCATAAAATTTTTAGAAACAGCTGTGGCATATGATGTTTACTTGGTATTAAGTACCTCAATTGCAAAGCTGTGAAGTTGGGCAGCCTCTTTTTTAAAGGACATAATTTATTTTGCACATTTGGAAATATAAGTAAGGAAACTTCTGATATAAATGTCTGATATAGATTGAATCATTAACAAATTAAGGATACATGTAACAAATTAAGAATACATGTCAGTTTATTGCTGATTTGTTATTTAACTAAGCCATCCAGTCTGGCCTCTGTATATTATCCAGCAAGCCAGTAGCATCAAGAGCATTTCATCAGACAAAGATTGGCTTATATTTGTAACAATGTTACTGAGTTCTCCTCCTCTTTGTCTTACCCTCACCTAATACAATATTCATATACTAGTAGACTTACTTCATAAGAGACTGCACAGAGATTGCCTTGTTTCATAGCATATACAGAAGGAAATTATAGCTGCTCGTTTTAAAGGTGACTTTTGAGGGGTGCCTGGGTGGCTCAGTCTCTTAAGCATTCAACTCTTGATTTCAGCTCAGGTCATGAACTCAGGTTTGTGAGTTCAAGCCCTGTGTTCGGGCTCTGTGCTGGAATGGAGTGTGCTTAAGATTCTCTCCCTCTCCCTCTGCTCCTCCCCTCCCCCACTTGTTCTCTCTCTCTCTCTAAAAAATAAATAAATAAATAAACAAAGAAAATAAAGATGATTTTCGAGTTTAGAGTAACATTGCCTAATAGAATGTTCTGTGATGACTGAAATGTTTTATATTTATATTGTGTTGTTCAGTAGGTTAGCCACTAGTCACGTGTGGCTACTGAGCACCTGAAATATGGCTAGTATGCCTGAGGAACAGAGTTTTAAATTAGTTTAAATTTAACTTAAATTACTTATTTTTAATTTAAATAGCCACATGTGGTGAAATGGCTACTGTATTAAACAGCACAGGCTTAAAGAATGAGTGGAAAAATGGTTTTTCAAAAAAGTATTTTCAGAACATTCTTTTCTTCCCAGTGACAAAACCATTCCCAAATATAAAATAAGCCTGAGAAGCCACAGTAATGGCTTGCAGCCATTTAAGTTTTTCTCACCCCTTACATATTGACTCTGAGCTAAAATTGCTTTTTAATAAAAGAACATATATGAGGTAGACTTTAGTACTGAAGCCAGTCTGATGGAGGTACCATCATGTTATTAAGTCCTTTGAGCGGAAATGTTCTAGTTATCCCTGCTGGTGGCCTGTGGAAGACACCTTACTATTTAACATGAAATATGGGTAGTAAAGAGAGTGGAGAGTCCTGCATTGAGCCCAAAGATGTTTGGCCTCTAGTTGCATTGCTTGACATCTGGTGGACGTGGTTTTCATATTGCTGGTAAATTCTCCAGCTGGTAGTCTTGATTGGGCCTACAGATACAGCTGCTCCTCTTGCCTCACTTGTAAATTATGTTTTTGACCTTCCTTGCAGAGAGTTAATCCCTCTCTCTTTCTTCCTCCTTTGAGCCTGTGGCTACAAATGCTTTCCAGAAAGAAAAAAAAAAACCCAAACACTAATGCTTTGGCTGCTGAATTCTATTGATCAAAAAAACCCATCTCTTCTGTCATAAAGGCTGGAATTTTATTGTATTGCAAGTAAGACAATGTTATAAATGAGAAGCTGGGCTCAAAAGAGAAAGCGGCTATAGCAAAGTTTGTATTCCTTATAAGAAAGTAAGCTTTTGACCTACCCCTCTGGTTTCCTGACTTCTATGAAAAAGTTGTTGAATTAATGGCATGCCTGTTCAGCATGATGACTGGTTTGTGAAACATGCTCTCACATAATGTTGAGATCCATGGTAGCAAATGAGAAATCTTTAAAATTAAAATTAAAATGAGGCATCTTTAAAAACTAAAACTAAAACAAAACAAAACCCAAAACCAAACAACAACAAAGCACACACATTTTTTAAATTTAAAATCTGTTTCTAAAAAGTTTTTTTCTTTTCTTTTCTTTTTTTTTTAATTTGGACTTCTTGTTACCAAACTCAGAAACTAAAGCCACCTGGCCATTCGAACATTTTATATAAGCTAGCTATGTTCAGTCTAAGTTAAGACCTTGAATTAAAGCTCACCTCAAAATCATAGTGCTTTAAAAAGGCTGGATAATAAATATTATTGTAACCAGAGTCTGTATACAATTTGAATAAATAGAGGTAGGTTCTTTTACAAATTTCTTTCTTTTCTTTTCTTCTCTTTTTTATAGAACATTCTTTTAATTATATCATTTAATTTCTAAACCTTCTGTAGCATAAGTTAGAGATTTTCTTCTTTTTATTAAACCAAAATTAGGGCATTGATACCAGTTGGATTTAAAAATCAGATTGCCTATATCCTGCCCAGATAGTAGTTAATGAACAGTTTTTAATAAACACCCAGTGTGCATGGACTACTGTAATAAAAACAGATGTTAAAACTGGCATGGAACTTATTGAAGTGTATTAAGTGAAACCTAGGTTTCTTTTACTATTTTACAACTTTCTATAACAGTAGTGAAAATACTGTTATAAAAATTCATTCTTGAGGAAGAGCAGGCTGTTCTATGGTCTTAAAGTGTCTCCCCACAGATTTCTTATTAGTTGCAGAAAAAATAATATATATATAATGAGGAAACCAGGCAACAACTTGACCTTGTGATCAAAATTAATGTGACTGGTGAGGGACAGATGGACATCATGTGCCTCTGGATGTGATAACCTGAGAAAGACACAACATTGCTTTTGTAGTATTCCATCTGGAAGTGCATAACCTGAATCTAATCACAAAGAAACATCAGACAAATCTAAAATGAGGAACATTCTATGAAGAAAGAAAAAAGGGATTATATTCTTTAAAAATGTCAGTGTCATAAAAGACAAAGGCTGAAGGAAATGCTGCAGATTAAATAATACTAGAGTCTTGACAACTAAATGCAATACTTGATCCTAGACTAGATCCTACATGGGAGGGGAAAATGCTATAAATGCATTATTAGGTCAATTTACAAAATTGAAATATTATAGATAGTAAAAAGTGTATCATTCTTAAATTTGTTTGTTATAACTGTATTGTGGTATATAAAGAAATATTTTCACTCTTAGAAAATACACACTGAAGTATTTAGGGATAGAGGGCCATAATATATACAATATCTTCTTAATGGTCCAGAAAAAATATATGGATAGATGGATGAATGGATAGACAGCAAAGTAATAGAGCAAAATGTTATCAATAGGTGAACCTGGGTAAAGGATGTATGGATGTTCCTTGAACTATTCTGTAATTTTGAAATTATTTTTGCATAGAAATTTTTAAAAATATATCACCCTTGGATATTATGGCACATTTGATTAGTTTTGAAATGAATAAGTATTGGAATGAGTGCAGTGCCAGGCAATTGGAGCCTGGGTTCTCCCCCAACTCTGTTTATTTAGTGTGATCACTCTGCCTCTTGGGAACTCAAGAGTCCTCATCTGTAAAATGAGAATAAGAATACCTTACTATGCCTTAAGTCCTTTCTGGGATAAAGTACGATAACAACAAAGAAATAAAATCTGTCTCTCTGAATAAGGATGACTAGATTCTATTTAGTCCTTGATGTATTATGGATATATTCTATATATTATAGATATTTGTATATATTATGGCCCTAGATACTTGCCTCCAATCTGCAAATTCTAAATTCTACATTCCAGATTACATAAGCAGATCTATTGCTATTCAATTTTCAGTAGAATTTTTGCAATCCCAATGTAGTGTATTTACCATGTTTTGTTTTTTTTTGAAGATAGTTTCTGGGCTTTAAAAAAATCTCAATAAACATCTATTTAGAAGGGTTAGGACAGATGGGATTTCTGAGAGTTTTTTTGTTAGGCTTAATGTACCTCTCAAATAAAATCATAAGAGGAAGACAAATATAAAATGGGAGGTAAACAAGAAGGAGTTATCAAAGGAATTGAGAAAGAGATTTCCACTCCCAATTAAGATGAAGACACTTTTGCTCCTACTCCCAACAATGAGAATGAGCTGGATAAACTATAAAATCATAAATTTTAAAAATTATCCAAAAAACTGAATATGCTAGAAAAACCTAAGTGAGCTATGGCCCAGAAAGACTTTTAGGACAGAAAAAACCTCTTGACAGATTTATTTCTGGCAGAACAGTGGGAAGAGGAGTAAAACTGATGTAGAAGAATATAAAGAGAAACTAGCCAAACTTTCAATAAACTATTTATAGCCTCATGTGAGTGGTGTGAGAGATTAAAATCCTAAGAAGCCCCAGACACAGGATGAG